CACTCGGTTCAAACTATATCTTGTGGTCGTGCGGTCACTGAGGTGGCAGTCCCGTCGGCATGTCGTCCGGGAAAATCCCACTGTACTGCTTCAGGAGTGCTGCCAAATCATCCGGTACGTTGGCTAACAGTTTCTGTAAATCCCCCCCTTTGTCTGCTGCCCCAGCTTCCCGAATGTCGACCGCGTACTGTTAAGAAATGAGGAATGAATTGACTAAGGGAAAGTTGGGTACAAAAGCAAACCCTAGAAAACTGTACCCCATATGTGCTACCCCACTATAGCCTACAGTAGCTATGTCATATAAATCTGACACACCCCCATAGGCAAAGTGGGGGAGAACAAGGGGTCACAAGACCAGTCAAGCAAAGCAAAGCAAGCTCAGGGTGGATCACAAAGTCACCACACATTCCGAGCACAAGTTCAAGGCCACAAGGCCAGTTCACATGCAGGATTACATATATATATAAGGCTAGACAAGCAAGAGCAGGTGTATATATATATGCAACAGTACAAACAAGGTCAAGGGGTGAGCAAGTGAGGCAAGGTAGGCACAAGACCCAGCTGAGTACAGAAGCGCTGATGATCACAAGGCGCAAGTGCCTTGGTGAAGATATCAGCAGTGTTGGCCTCAGAGGCCACGTACGCAAGCCGTAGCTGACCACGCTGCTGTAGCTCATGAGCAAGGAAGTAGCGGAGAGCAATGTGCTTCGTTCTGTGCTCCAGTCTCTGCTCTCGACACAAGGCCAGCATGGCCTTGTTGTCTACGTACAGCACTGGAGGAGAACGAGGCGGCTCTTCGAGGTCAGTCAGCAGGTAGGTGAGCCAGCGAAGCTCCTGTGCAGCCATGGCCCCGGCGTAGATCTCAGCCTCACAACTGGAGCCGAGAACAGAAGACGAGCGGGTAGCCCGCCACGAAACAGAGCCGGAACCAAGGCTGAAGGTGTAACCCTGTGACGACCGCTGCGTAGCCTGGTCGTCAGCCCAAGAAGCGTCTGCGTGCCCAGTGAGGACCACTGGACTCTGCCCTCCAAGCACAAGCCCCATGCCCGACGTACTGCACAAGTAGCGCAACACCCTCTTCGCTGCAGCCATGTGCTCCGGTCTGTGTCTCCCAGGAGCAACATAGCGTGCAAGAATGCTAAGAGGGTATGCAAGGTCAGGTCGTGTGCAGGTCATCAGGTACATGAGGCAGCCAACAAGCTCTGGGTACGGGCCACTCGACTCTACGGACTCATCCGAAGGCAGAGCTGAGAGCGAGTGGCGAGTAGGCAGAGGAGTGGCCTGAGGCGAGGAGTACGTGAAGCCGAAGCGCTGAAGGACCTGCTGCACCATGTGTGACTGTCAGGGTAATGGTGCGGCGTGCTCTGTCCCGGGTGATCTGCAAGCCAAGGTAGCTGCGCAGTTCACCCAGGTCTGTGCACGTGTGTCTCTTCTGCAGCTCGGACTTCACGTGGGCGAGTCCAGCAGTGTCAGCTGTGGCGAAGACCAAGTCGTCGACGTACACGAGGATGTAGAACGACGGCAAAGAAGTGTCGGTGCGCAGAAACAGCGACGGGTCGGCAGTAGATGGAGCAAACCCAAGAGCCGCAAGTGTAGTCCTCAGTGTGTCGTGCCACTCACGCGGTGCCTGGCGGAGACCGTAGACTGGCCGCCGGAGGCTCCACTGGGTGCCAGGAGGAAAAGACCCAGTGAAGCCAGGAGGGCGACGCAGCCAGATCTCCTCGTGCAGGCTGCCCTGCAAGAAAGCAGTGCTGAAGTCAAGAGAGTGCAGCTCGTAGTCGCGGTGAGCAGCTATGTGCAGCAGTACCCGAAGAGTGGTCATCTTCGGGGTGGGAGAGAAGGTCTGAAAGTAGTCAACTCCCTGCCGCAGACTGAAGCCACGAGCCACGTAACGCGCCTTGAAGACAGGCGGAGAACCCGGCGGCCGCTTCACCCTGAAAATCCACATGCCACTGACGATGTTCGCCCCAGTCGGGGGAACCTCGTCAACGTAGGTGCCTGTGGACTTCCAGGAAGCCATCTCTGCGTCCATAGCTGCCTGCCACTGAGAGGAGTAGGGACCCTCTATCGCGTCCGCGTAAGAGCGCGGAGTCGGGATGTCAAGTGCATCCGGGTCTCCCTCAGGGGTAAGCAGTACGGACACGAGATGAGGTGAAGCAGCAGCCAAACACTGGAACTCCTCCTGCCTGTCCTCAAGGACGTCCGTGCCAAGGGCACACTCACCCCCGACGGACGGAGGACAGACAGACTCAGACTCAGCAACAAGACTAGCAGCGTAGTCTAGACGACAGCGAGCAGCAAAGTCGACGAGCTCAGTAACTAGGGCAGACGCAGCAGTGGACTCAAAGGAAGGGTCAGTGACAACAGTAGCAAGGAGACGCGTGACCGTAGGACTGGCAGCACGAAGAGAGTCCGACTCCGGGTCAGGAAGAGCAGGAAGAGAGGACTCAGGAGGAGAAGGCAAAGGGGCACGCAGAGGAGCAGTGGACGGACGCAGAGACATCCGGTGCGTGCCAGGGAAAGGAGGAGGACGCTGACGCAAACCACGACCACTAGGGCGAGCAGCACGGACAGGCGACGCAGGGCGAGACGCAGGCTCACGACGCTCAGCAAGACCTCCAGTAGGACCAGTGTAGGGAGAAGGAGCGGGCAGTGGGGAGGCCGGCTGTAACTGTAACTGTGACGGGACAGGCTGTGGACACTCGAAGGGAGGAGGAGGACCAGTAGAAGGCGGGAGACCAAGAACCTGCTGAAGGAGCGGAACGAAGTACGGCCTAGGCCGCGCGGCGACTCCAGACACAGCAGGGACAGCACCAGTAACCCCAGCGGCAGCACCAGCGCCAGCAGCACCTCCAGCTCCAGTACCTCCAGCAGCACCAGTAGCACCCCCAGCAGGACCGCCTCCAGGACCGACAGCAGTAGCCTCAGCGCCAACACCCTCAGCAGCTCCAGCTCCAGTCGTACCCGCAGGCCCAGCAGCTCCAGTACTCCCAGTACGAGCACCTCCGGGACCCGCGGCACCAGCACCCTCAGCAGCCGAAGAACCTCCAGCTCCAGCAGCACGCCTCCAGCGCCGGGCAAACCACTCGCGCAGCTCCTGTGGAGAGAGTGGCTCCCGCCGAGACGAAGCACCCGGAGAACCTCCAGGCTCAGCACCGCCAGACGCCACACGAGCAGGCCCAACTCCCTCAGGCTCCGCACCCCCAAACTCAGCACCTCCAGGCGTGGCACCCCCAGGCTCAGCACCCCCAGGCGTAGCACCCCCAGGCTCAGCACCCCCAGGCTCAGCACCCCCAGTAGTAGTACCCCCAGGCTCAGCACCCCCAGGCTCAGGACCCCCAGTAGTAGCACCCTCAGGCTCAGCACCCCCAGGTGTAGCACCCACACGCTCAGCACCCCCAGAGTCAGCACCCCCAGGCTCAGCACCCTCAGCAGCACCAGAGTCACCAGTAACCTCGACAGGCTCGACTGCGTCTACCTGGGACACACCTGAAGGGGCAGGACCCTGAGGGGGGAGGGGGTCTACCGGGGGGGGACCTGGTACAAGGAAGAGCGGTGGCGGGGGGAGGGACGGAGTGCGGTAGGGGAAGAGGCGGTAGTAGGGGACCGACTCGTCAAACGTGACGTCCTGGGAGGACAGAACACGGCGAGAGGTGGGGTGGTAGAACTGCCACCCTGGCACGTCAGGGGGGAAGCCAAGGAAGACGCAAGGAGCAGCACGAGGGGACAGCTTGTCCGCAGACAAGTCGCGGACAAACGCCCGAGATCCCCAGACACGGAACGCAGACGCATCGCCAACCTTCCCCGTCCACAGCAAGGCTGGGGAGGTCTCCGGCATGGAGACCCTGGGGTGAAGGTTGATCTGATGCGCCGCGTACCGAACTGCAAACGGCCACAGAAAATGGGGGGCAGCCGCATGCATGAAGGTCTGGCGGATGCCTCGTGCACGACAGTAGGCTCGCAGAAGGCCAGAGGAGAACTCTCCACCTCTGTCAGAGTGCAGACGCAGAACAGGAAAGTCCGAGCCGAAGCTCTGCCTGAGCTGGAGACGAGCTGCGCGGATCCAGTCGATCAACACCTCAGTGACATCACCCTTGCTGCGCAAGGGGAAGACTGTGGTGTAACGCGAGTAGTCGTCAACCACCAGCAGGAAGTAGCGCTCGTGACCCTGTCCACGGACGCGGGCCGGGCCCCACACGTCCATGTGAAGCGTCTGCAGCGGGGCCTCTGTCGGAGGAAACTGGGAGGAGTGAGGGGCAGCCCGCTGCCGCCCCTCGACACAGGGGACGCAGGTAGGGCCAGGCCCCGGAGGAAGGGGAGGGAGGGACCGGGGAAGACCAGAGACAAGGACACGGGAGGCCATGCCTCGGAGACGAAGCAGGGAGAGGTGACCAAGGCGGTGGTGCCAGAGGAGAGTCTCGTGAGACAGGAGGCGACACGAACAGGGGGCAGACTCAGGACCAGACCTGGACGCTGCAGCAAACACCTGACCCGACGCAGCTACCTGACCAGACGCAGTGACTGGAGGAGACTCTGTGGTCAGTGTGTACAGGCTCGACCCCGGCCGACGTGTAAACGTGGCCAGGTGTCGGCCTGTCCGAGCGTCCGTGCAGTGGGTCACCCGCTGACTCGCAGGAGTGAACTGGTGAACCCCCGCATCCTGTAGGTCAGCACCACTCACCAAGTTCGTAGAGAACGAGGGGAGGCAAAGACCAGACAGGGTGCCAGAGGGGGCCGCCGGACACGGGAGGACAGTGGAGAAGTGAGCAAGGACAGGACCCCCAGAGGGGTCTGCCAGGGAGACCGCAACCGGCCGACTGAGCGGCGTAAGCGTGGTGCGGTCTCGAAAGAAGGAGCGGGAAGCACCCGAGTCAAGAGTGAAGGTGTGTAAGGCCTGAGACGACGTGGTACCTGAGAGAGCAGACTCACCAGCACCTGGGGCAGCAGACGCACTAGCACCTAGAGCAGCAGCCTCACCAGCACCTAGAGCAGCAGCCTCAATGCCCGGGTCAGGCGGAACACACAGGTAACAGTCACCCGCAGCACTAGTAGGCAATGCATACATGGCAGTGAGGATAGCATCATAGTCAAGAGTATAGATATCTACCCGCAGCCGAACCAGCTCCACCCAGTCGGGGAGCTCAGCCGCGTCGCCAAACTCCGTACGCCAGGCGTCGCTCAGACGGGCGAAGCAGCGGGACTCTGCGTGACCCAACGTCCCGCAAGGCTGACCAGTCCGAGCACCAGTGCGAATGACGTACGGACAGCGAGCAGTACCCCGTGACCCGTCACGCTGAGCGTACCACTCACGAAGCTGCTAGGGCGAAAGGACTGCTCGCGGACGACGCTGAAGCTGCACCTGGCCACTACAAGCAGCTGCCGAACTACTCACTCCAGGACGACTCCCACTACGGCCACCCCGACAACCCCAACTAGCGTACCACGCACGAAGCTGTTGGGGGGTGAGGGACTCACGCGGGCGACGCTGGAGCTGCATCTGGCCACGCCAGGAGCAGCAGTAGCAGTAGAAAGAGCAGCAGCAGTAAGAGCAGCAGTAACAGCAGTACGGGCAGGGCAGTGCTCACCAGTGGCGAGAAGGGCAGGCGTACGACGGCGGCAACGGCGAGGCCGCTACCACTGTAGAGCGAGAGCTCCGCGGCAGCTGCAGGGGTGGCTGCTCCAGGGGCGGCAGTTGTAGGGGCGACTGCTCCAGAGGACGGCTGCTGCAGTGGCGGCTGCTCCAGGGGCGGCTGCTACAGTGGCGGCTGCTCCAGGGGCGGCTGCTGCAGTGGCGGCTGCTCCAGGGGCGGCTGCTGCAGTGGCGGCTGCTCCAGGGGCGGCTCGGCTGCTGGGCGACTCGGCGGCTCAGCTGCTGGGCGGCTCGGCGGCTCGGCTGCTCGCTAGGGGCGGCGACGGGGCCGGGTAGGGGCAGCGACGGGGCCGCTAGGGGCGGGGAGCGGCGACGGGGCCGCTAGGGGCGGCGACGGGGCCGCGTAGGGGCGGCTACGAGGCCGCGTAGGGGCGGCGACGGGGCCGCGTAGGGAGGGAAGCAGCGACGGGGCCGCTAGGGGCGGCGACGGGGCCGCGTAGGGGCGGCTACGAGGCCGCGTAGGGGCGGCGACGGGGCCGCGTAGGGAGGGAGGCGGCGACGGGGCCGCTAGGGGCGGCGACGGGGCCGCGTAGGGGCGGCGACAGGGCCGCGTAGGGAGGGAGGAGGCGACGGGGCCGTTAGGGGCGGCGACGGGGCCGCGTAGGGGCGGCGACGGGGCCGCGTAGGGGCGGCGACGGGGCCGCGTAGGGAGGGGAGCGGCGACGGGGCCGCTAGGGCGGCGACGGGGCCGCTAGGGGCGGCAACGGGGCCGCGTAGGGGCGGCGACGGGGCCGCGTAGGGGCGGCGACGGGGCCGCGTAGGGAGGGGAGCGGCTACGGGGCCGCTAGGGGCGGCGACGGGGCCGCGTAGGGGCGGCGACGGGGCCGCTAGGGGCGGCGACGGGGCCGCGTAGGGGCGGCAACGGGGCCGCGTAGGGAGGGAGGCGGCAACGGGGCCGCTAAGGGCGGCGACAGGGCCGCTAGGGGCGGCTACGGGGCCGCGTAGGGGCGGCAATGGGGCCGCTAGGGGCCGCAAGGGGCCTGGAAGGGCGGCAACGGGGCCGCTAGGGGCGGCGACGGGGCCGCTAAGGGTGGCGCGAGGGGCCGTGAGAGGGGCCTCTAAGAGAGCTCGACAGAAGGGCGGCCCACAAGGCGCGCCACGGGCAGGAGCGACTGTCGCTCCGGTCAGAAAAAAAAGGTTTCAGTGGTGGGCCCAAGGAAGCGTTCCCACTAGGGAACCTGCTCTATACCATGTTAAGAAATGAGGAATGAATTGACTAAGGGAAAGTTGGGTACAAAAGCAAACCCTAGAAAACTGTACCCCATATGTGCTACCCCACTATAGCCTACAGTAGCTATGTCATATAAATCTGACACGTACACCTCAGTACCGGCCGCTACGGCGCATTTCATTGTGATTGCGTTGACACGCACCGACGAAGACTCAGGCGAGCCCCAGCGAGGTAAAGCGATGTTGTTACCGTTTACTCGCACGGTGCAGTCGCCCGTCGTCCAGTCGATTCGCGGATTGTGTCGTCGCAGCCAATCACGACCGAGTAAAATGTCGGTTCCGTCGAGAGTTGTCGCGAGCATTTCCTGGCTAAACGTGAAGCTACCCCCGCATCGAATCCGAACCCGGTCCACGCGTTCTCGTATCGCCAGTGGCGTGCCGTCAACCAGTCTTGCGACGATCTCAGGTAAACATCTGTCCAGTGGCAGTCTCAGTTTCCGTGCTGTGGCGGTGTTGATCAGGCTGGCTCCCCCATCTACAAATGTTTTAACTAAGTCCGTCCCAAGTTTCCCACTAAGTAGTATGGGGCTGTCCACTGTAGAACCCTCCTTATTCGGCCGGGTGTGGTCGATTGCGTGAACCGGCACAATCACTCGGTGAGGGTCGGTTGGGTCGGGCGAGCGGCGTGACCTGTCAGTAGAGGGCCCGTCTGCTACTGACTCCCAGCGTTTCCCTGCTGCTTGGTCTGTTTTCGTTACTCGGCTTCCCCCTTTCCCTTAGCGTTTTCCGGGCATTCGCTTTTGCAGTGTCCCGGCCGATTGCACGCGAAGCAGCGCCCTTTGAATGGTGCGGTAGCGGCATTCGCGGCGACGGCACGTACCGTAGCACCCTCATTCGTCCCATAAAATCAATGTCCCCAGTTGTTGTTGCTTGCGTAGGACCCCGGTCTCGGTCGGCGGAAAAAGTCGAGCTTCTCCGCCATGGCGAGAATCTCTTGAAAATCGATGACGCCGCGGAGCTGGATTTCCTGAGCGATGTCCTGCTTCAGGCCGCCGATGTAGCGGTCGATACGCTCAGATTCGTGCGTGTAGCCCACCTGCTCGCACAACGCCAGAAACCCACTGGTGTAGTCTTGGACGGAACCGAGTTGGCGCCAAGTGCGGAGCTTCTGACGCGCCGCGATCGAAGCCGCGATTGGCTCAAATCAAGCGCGCAGACCTGCGTACCACGCGTCCTACGTGCGATATTGGGGGACCTCCACGAAATACGACGGCGCCCAGGGTCCGGTTTGTCCTTCCCGTGTCGGTAGAATCGCGTAGTCCATCGGCTTCGTGACGATGACGCCCCACCAGTCCATGGCGGATCCTCGCAGCAGCGACACGGCGTAGCAAATCTTCGCCGTATCCTCCGAGACGTAGTTGGCGTCGAAGAAAACGTTCAACGTGAACAACCACGCCTGAACGGTAGGACGCTGCGGCTTCAGTGGCATCGGCGACGGCAGTGTTGATTCGCCGGCCGGCACAGAAATCGTGACGCGAGGTTGACCTCGGGCCGCATTCGTTTCTTCGGGGTGTGTCGTGCCATGGTCGTCGTCTCCCTCGTGGCGGACGACGCCATCACTGGCTGCGCTCGCGGGTTGCCCCACACTTCCGTGTTGCGATGCTTGTGGTGCGGGTTGTACCGGAGTGCCAGGTGCTTGTGATTGCGCTTGTTGTGCTCGTGCGATGTCATTCTGCAGGGACGTGCGTTCCGCCGTCAGCGCCGCAATTTCTTCTAAATTCTCGTGCAGCTGGCGCAGCAGTTCGTTCAGGCGGTCCTGTGTGAGTGTCGTGACGTCAATGTGTTCAGCCATTATGAAGGGCATCGGCTCAGCTTAGTCTAGGCGCAATCGTGGCTGCACGCGTTTACGAGAGAACGCGAGGACAGCGGCTCCTAGGGGCTAAGGTGCATCAGTCCCTTCGAGTGAAAAATGAAAAGTTGATTTCCTGAGGTGCGGAGATGCGCGGTCCGAAAAGAAAGTGGCTCTGATAACCAAGTGTTGTCAAATGTTATATGGGTTACATTCATGTAGGCTACAGTGGGTTAGCCTTTAGGGGGTACAATACTTTAGGGTTTCATACTTGTATCCCCAACTTTCCCAATTCAATCACTTCTCATTCTTGATATGGTATTAAGAGCTTAGGTTCTAGACCTAGGACTCACCTAAGGGCCCACCGTTAGAAGCGCCCTCGAGCGCCATATCGACCTAGCGCCCTCGAGCGCCGTTCTCCTAGTGCGCCCTCGTGCGCCTCGTCTTCTCCTGCTGCCTATGCGCGGCTCGCTAGTGCCACGCGCGGCCTTTTTTTTTCCCGCGCGTCGCCCCCTAGCAGCCCGCGCGTGGCCGTTTCTGAGCGCGCGCCGCCCGTTAGCCGCCCACGCCGCCACGAGCAGCCCGTCGACCGGCCCTCCTGGCCGCGCGTAGCCCGCTGGCGACCGGCAGCCCCGCCCGTAGGCCGCCGCGTCGCCCTCTAGGCCGCCGCTCACGCGCTAGTCAGGCCCACGCACAGCCACGGCCCGCCCGCTACAGCCGCCCACATGCACGCCCCCGTCGCGCACCGCCGCGTAGCCCAGCCCGAGCCGAACCGCGCCGCCCGAACCGAGCCGCGCCGCCCGAACCGAGCCGCGCCGCCCTGGCCGAGCCGCGCCGCCCTACTGTGCCTCACCTGCAGCAACTCCTGTTCCTGTTCCTGCCGTACTACTGCTTCAGCTGCCACTGTTCCTGCTACTGCTACTGTTCCTACTGCTGCTACTGCCACTATGGCCACTCCCTCTGTTCTCACCTTTGACGCTGAGGGCCGCCCGATTAAGTTTGAGGTTTGGTTAGATGACCTCCACCTGTTCCTCCAGATCACTGCCAAGGACGATGTCTCCCTGTATGACCACACGTCAGGCGCCGCTCCCGCACCTGTCACTACTGCTGACAGTACTGCTCGCTCCCAATGGCAGACCCGTGATGCTCACGCTCGCCTAGCCGTTCGCAGCCACCTGCCGTTAGATGAGCGCGAGCACTTCGGCCAGCATAAGACCGCTAAGGAGCTGTACGACTCAGTAGTCGCGCGCTACTCCTCCCCTGCCACTGCTACTATAGGCCGTCTCTCACTGCCCTACCTCTTCCCCGACCTGTCCGCCTTTGCCACTGTAGCTGACCTCATCACCCACCTCCGTACCAGTGACCTCCACTACCGTGCCGCGCTCCCCCCCGATTTCCTCGCCAAGAACCCCCCCCCCCGATGTACCTCACACTGTACCACCTTGTCACCCGCCTCCCTGACTCCCTTCGCTCTGTCAGGGACCAGTTTCTTGCCCTCTCCCCCACTGACCTCACTGTCGACCTCCTCGAGAAGGAACTCCTAGCAGCTGAGAAGAGCATTGTAGCTGTAGGTGCCTCTCGTGGTGACCCCCGCTCCCCCTTCTTTGAGGGGTGCTCCCCCTCCCCCCTCCTCCCCTCCATTGCATCTGCTGCTGCTGTCGACTACCTCGGAGCTGAGGGGGTCGGGGCTGCGTCTGCTCCTAGTGGGAGGCGCAAGGGCGGCAGGGGCAAGGGGGGCAGGGGTGGTGGAGGTGGAGGCGGGGGCGGCGGCGGTGGAGGGGGTGGGGGGGGCGGGGGTGGTGGCGGAGGTGAGAGTGGCGCGGGTGGTGGGGGGGTCAGTGGCGGCACAGGGGGTGGTGGCGGCGGCGGTGGTGGGGGTGGTGGGGGCGGTGGTGGCAGTGGTGGCGGCGGTGGAGCGGGTGGCGGGCGCGGTGGAGCGGTGCAGCGTGGAGGGTTCGGCGGTGGCCAGAGGCAGCAGCAGCAGCGTCCCGGCGAGACTCCCTCGCCCCAGCAGCTCCGTGAGTGGTACTCTCAGCGTGGGGGGTCTGGGGGTGGAGGTACCTGCCCGTACGTCATCCGCACAGGTGACCGCACTGGCCAGACCTGTGGGAGGTTTCACACAGCGCAGCGCTGTTTCTTTCGCCTCGACGACGCCTGTCGCGAGCAGTTTCCTGACGCCTCTGAGCTGCCCCGCTGGGCTGATCTGCTTAAGAAGGGAATTGATATCTTTGCTCTTGATTATGATGCTATCCTTTCT